TAAAACTTCAAAATTATCGTCGGAAAATAATTTAAAATTTTTTAATTTTTCGGACATTTCAATGTTTGTTCTATTAAGACAGCGTCTCAAACCAGGGGCGGCGGAATGAATTTTGGGTTGGAAGTGCTCATACTATTGTATGGAATTTTTGGGAGTGCTCAAATGATTTTTTGGTGAGATTCTGCTGGGAAAAAAGGGGTTTTCTGCTAAATTTTCAAAACTTGGGAGTGCTCGAGCACATCCAGCACTCTTGAACCCTGCGGTCAAAGCCACAGTACCATCTACTTCTAGTAATTATAAGATATGATGAGCTGTTAAATTTTGCTTATTATTTGTTGAATTCTGCTATTATTTTGAGCTAGATTCTGCCTGCCTTTCTTTGTTAGGACGGACACTCAACAAGGTATCTTCAAAAATTATGCTGTTGTGGTTCATGAGCTATAAGTGTGACTGTCACTTTTTTCTATTACTTCTAAAGGACTTTCTCGTATTATCTCACTTCTGTCTCAGCTATCATCGTTGTACATGATTGGCTCCCAACTGTAGCAAGAATTTTAAATTTGACACAAACTTTTTCTTTAGATGCCCAACCATTGTACAATTACGATGCTGATCTGTACAATGATGATTTGTACGATGATGTATATGTGTACAGCCGAACTCAAAATTATAATTCAGCAAGAAAGAGATCAAATGAAGATTTCGAAAACGAAGAAAATGAAGATAATTATTTTGTGACTCGACCACTAAAACACATTTTACAACATGAGTGTTTTACAAAGCGACAACAGCATCCATCGAATTCAGCGGCAACGACAAAAACTCTACGAGCAGCGGAAAACCAACACAAAAACGAATAAAACATCAACAGGCACGAATTTAGTATTATCGTTGAAACCAAAAATGAATGATTTTATCGTCAAACAAAATGAAGAAACTAACATGATAAAAAATATGGAAAAGATGATGAAACAACTGATATATATTACAAGATTTGTAAGTCTATTTAGTTATTTATGACTTATACCAGTGTGTGCTTTAATTTAGAATTTACCAGAAACAGAGCAGCAGAAAACTCGACGGACAACTGTAAGAAAACTAATTTAACAATTCATAAATGTTTGTACTTCTCTTTTTTCCTTTTTTTTATAGAGATTGAATGGACAAAATCTAACACAATGTGTGATTCCACCAAATCAGCCACAAAAATTATTGTGCACTTATGTTAGAAAATTTTATTAATGGATGCCATATGGGTTCCAGAAATACACAAACTTAATCGTTTTTTTTATTTTGCCGTTGAGAGTACAGAAAAATTTGTAAATCTTCAAGTTTTGTTTGCAGAACGCGTTTTGTTCTCATTTCTGTTTTTCGGTTTTTGATGTTTGCCGTGTTTACGCTTACAAACGACTATATTGTTGTCAGCTAATGAAATGGAATGAAAATGCCAACGAAATAAATAATTAACTGAATAAAGAAATTGGCTCTTATGCGTATAAGCAACGGAAGCAACAACAACAGCATTTCGTAATTGAATCGCAACTACGTAGCAATATTTCTGTCACTCACCTGTGTAAACAATTTTTTCATTATTTTCACTAAGTATAGTGTGAGAGGACTAGATGCAGGGTCAACTGCATGTAGATTTCCACAGCTTCTCTCAGTTTTTAATAATAGTGTTTTTTATAAACTTCGGTATGTAGATGATTACATATAAGAAATTTTTCTTTTGCGAGCTTTCACTCTCTCCGAGAGCATCAGCAGGCAATTTTTTTTATTAAAATTTCGTTATTATAATAGGATTAATAAATTCGTTAGTGGTAAGAGCATTACGTATATGTTCAAATAATGTTTTATTAAATGAGGGATTAAAATTCTTAAGACATGTATTAAATGCTAATGGGTATCTACTAAAATTAATTGAACGAACAATCAAACATACGATACATAAAGAAAAGCAAAAAGAACAACAAAGTAATATAAATAAAAATCAACAAAGGAATAATGACACAAATGAAATGTTAATTAACATTGTTCTCAGTTATCTAGGTAAGGAATCATATTCATTTGGAAAAAAATTTAAGAAATTAATGAAAATTGAATGTTGGATTATTTTTAAAAAAAATCAAACAATCGGACACCATTTTACAAAACAACTGAAAGAAATTAACAAACAGAAAGTTGGTGTGGTATACTGTATTGAATGTAATGATTGTCATAAACTATACATTGGACAAACAGGAAAGAATGTAGATGTTCGAATGGAACAACATAAGGAGAGCTGGAAAAAAATTGATGTCAGTTCAAAAGCGATAGAGCATATGAGAACTCTAAATCATTCATTAAATTTTAATGAACCATCAATTTTTTATACTTAGTTTTTAATGGTGAACAAGATGAAAGCACTTTTACGCACCCTGTGCAAGAAAAACGTGCGCTATCCATTAAGATACTACGAGACAATAGGACTATATATATTGAACGGTGTTCCTATAGCCGGTGTTCCTGTGGCATTATAGCTGGTGTTCCCCATAATGAAAAAGTGTTCCACCATCTGACACTAAATTACGTGATCAAAGTATTTTTTTCGGCCAGATGTGAATCTAATAAAGTGGTTCCTCGCATAGTTCTTACAATTAAAAATAACATAAAAAGTGAGACTAGAAAACACCTAAAAATGAGATAAAAGATAGATCAGGTAATTATTAGATCTGTTCAGATAGTCTTTGAAAAAATGTTCCACCTTCAAATAATCTTGTCATTAAGTATGCGGTATGAACTAGACTATAAAAAGAGAGAAAGTTATGACATTTCTTATCACAAATCTTACACAGCGATCATGGCTATTCCTACTGATAATCGAGAATTTTACAAAATATTAAATGATGACAATTTGCTATCTGAATTCGTTCGCGACTAAAGTTTGGCTCAGAAAAGTGAAGATCATACATGTCATTGTGGTTCCTCGATGGTTGATGGTGCAAGAAAGAAGAAACTGAAAGATGGTACTGTTAAGGTCTATCCAACTATGCGATGTACTAATCGACAATGTCGAAATCAATTAAGTGTTCGCAAAAACACGTTTTTAATGCACGCAATTTAATGGAAGACCGATGACATAAGAACGGACAGAGAAACACGTAACGAACGAGAAATCTTTCAAGGCTTTATCTGGAAATGATGGGGTATCATTACCGTTATGTGCATTTACTGATGCATTAGACCGACCAAATTCAAAACTTGATATGCTACACAAATGACTGTGGTTGATTGGATTAACTTTTTGCGAGAATTAAGGTTTCTAGAACTTTTATAACTTGTTTCTACTCTTAATCTATTGTAGGTTTGCCAACAGAAGCTGAATGACGATCCACAGATGGGTGGAATTAGTGAAGTAGTACAAATAGATGAATCATTATTTCGTGGTAAACGCAAATATAATCGTGGTCGTCTACTACTTGGCAACCGTAACAACGCCACAGCTGCTAACAACAACAATAATAATAATAACAATGGTCTTGTTCAATATTCAAGTTCCAGCTCGAGTGATGATTCGGATTCCAGCAGTGATCAAACTCAGGCAAATAACAATAGAAATTATGGACACAGACTAGTTGGTAAGATATTTTGTGACTACAAGAAACATTTATCAGAAATCTCTCTTCATTTAGGTCCCTGGATATTTGGAATCGCACAACCAATGGCAGAGGGGTACGAGGCACGTTTTTTCCATGTGCAGCGGCGTGATGCGGCTACGTTGCTTCCAATTATTTGGAAAAACGTTTATCCTGGAACTACTATATGGTCGAACGAATGGAAAGCTTATTCACGCTTGCAAACAACGTATGGTTACGACCATCACACAGTAAATCATTCTCAAAATTTTATTGATCCACCTACCTGTATCGTTCTGTACATAAACTAATGTTTTTATCTATTTTCTCGAGGATATTCGACGTTATCGTACAAAATAATCTTCATTGTTGTTTTAAATTCATTGTTTCAAATTCATTTCAAAATTTATTGTTTAAATCTAAAAAAATACTTTGATTACGTAATTTGTGAACAGCCCATTTAGTATCAGATGGTGGAACACTTTTTCATTATGGGGAACACCAGCTATAATGTCACCATACCTTACAGTAATACACAGTGGAACACCTGCTATAGAAACACCATATTGAACCAATAAGTAAATTTACCGATGAAGTTGTTGAAGAAACACCCATGGTGCGTATCCCTCTTTACAAAAGCGACTGTCATTTACTGCTGTTACTAGATTATGCTCAAAAATGTATTGACGCTTCAGTGAGATCTAAACGATTTTTAGTGGGTTTTCTATAATTAAGCTGCTTCGTATTCGATATCTGATATAAAACATCAGGGAACGAGAAAAATCAAAACAAACAGATGGAAGAGATTGCCGAACAAATTCGTCGTGATCAAACTATAATGAAAGGAATAGTCTCACAGATTGTCAGGTGAGAAACATAGGCAGCGCAAGTTAAAGTTCCTAGGGGTAGCAATAAATTTTTTAAACTCATAATTTTAATAAATAATAACAACTCCCAGTTCCCACTTCTTCTAACAACTCCCAGAATATGTGTTATTAGGGGTAGCAATAACTTTCTATTGCTACCCCTAATTTTCTATAGGGGTAGCAATTGCTACCCCTCGCTACTATGGCGCGCCGCCTATGGTGAGAAATGTTGTATTTCAGAGCATGGTACAATCTTTTGTATATACTTTGCGCAAATACTTCGTTGCATTTAGTTTTCGAACTAAACCAAATCACATCACGCAATATGATGTGAATTATGAGTATAACATTAACAAGCGGTCTCCCGATATAATCCGTCAAAAAAGTGAGCTGCTTCATTTACAATCGATTATTCAGCGGTTATAGATTACGCAATCTGTGATAAAAATCTCGAACAGAGAACTGAATCCCAATTACATATCGTTCGTTGAACAGGTTCGTATCAACAGATATCCATTAGTAGTATGAAACATCTGGAAAGCTAGACCAATCTAATGCTATCTACGTTGACAAACCAATTCGTGAAAAATCAATGGATTGATTTCATCGAAAGCAAACCACCAACCTCATCCTCTATCATAATACTGTCCGATAATTAAAAGAATGACCTTATTGACAACGCTGTCGTTGCCAATGTATTCTTCCCCCAACCAGCCAACAGTGTTTTCAAAGTGTTAAGTGTGTCGTTCTTTCTAAAAAAAGCTGCGTATAAAATGACAAGTAGACGCGTATTTCTCGGCGTATATTTTAAAACAAGGCGCTGGTCTCACTATCATGCTCATATCTTCTAAACTGCACCCCTCAATTTATCCTTTCGTCACCTATCCATGACTGCTACCGTACGGATCGAAAAATCATTATAAACGCAACGATTTATAGCATTAATATCAAAATCATGGAAGCCCTGAATTTGTCTGTTGTAAAACCATTTACTCATTCAACGTCGCATCTTATTCGTGAGCTTAACGAAACGCTCGCTATCTGAACGATATGTGTATCAAAATACCTTTGTTTAACTATTCTGTTAAAGGATCGTCTTTTTTCACTTTTCAGATGTCGAGTATGTTCTTTTTGATTGTACTGATTATAGGTAGTTTTGTTTTCTCTAAATGGTGTAATGTTAAAAAACGTCTTATATAATTGCTATATTTTATGAAGCTGTTATATTAGTTTAATGAAGAGAATCATGGAATACGGATAATTAATAACGTTCATACCAGGAATGAACGATAAAATAATGTAGTATTTTCTCACTTTTAATTTTCCAAAATAAAAGTTAGCAAATGGAATAAATGTAAGACATTCCCTTGTTTTTGTTGTTTCAAATAATATTATACATGGCAAGATAAATAGAATATAATCTGATATAAAAATTAGACTTTGTCAAAAGCAGAAAATGGAGAGTAGCAGGATGAGAGAAATGAAATCCTTCTAAATGAAAAGAAAAACGATAAGAATGAGTGAGACAAATTGATTTTTTAGAAGAACTAGGAATATACTATAAAAACGCGTTCCCAATAACGCTTCACCATTTTAAAACGTTTTGTTTATTCACTGATTGGAGGTAAAACAAACCAATAGTATCCTTTCTTTTACCATGCTATGAGGTAGCGTTGTGGTAGCTTCTCAGAAATACTCAGATTTAGTATCTCATTTAGAAACTAAGTTATACGTGTTTAATTTGATTGATTATCAAATTAGGTCTTGGTTCTTATTTCAGTTTAGACAATTTTGCTGAAAGAATCTTACACCTTCACATCCTACAATGTCAAGAGAAGCTTTGAGAGTTAGTAATTTGATGATCGTTAAAAGTATGATTTTAGTCTAGAATTTGTCACGATTCGATTTAATATAACGAATGAGATGTGCAGTTGTAGATTTGAATCTGTTTAATCCAAATTCTCTTACATTTCGTTTCCACTCTAATATTCTACTGTAGTATCAATAACTTAACAGAGTCGTGCCCTTGGACTAGTTTCATCAGATGTTCGGCGTCGAATTTAACTTTCTTCTATTCTTCCTAAACTAGATTATTGTTGTACCTTATATGATAGTTCGTTCTCGCTTTCTGCATTTGACTCTCTTAATAAACTTGCTGCTCGTATTATTTCTGGTAATTTTGATTATTGCTTTTCTAGCTCTTTACTTGTGTCACAATTTTCTCTTCCAAACCTCTCACTTCGTCGTAAATATTTTCGACTTGTACAGTTTTTCAAAATTTATGATCGTCTTAGTCCTCTTTCTATCTTTTATTCTATTCATCGTCCTCATTCTCATCTCTACGCTGTCATCATTCTAAATATGCTCGCATTCCAACCTCTGTCAATGGTTTCCTTCTCAAATAGTTTTTTCTTCTTTTTTTCTATTCAACTATTACTGACTGGAATAAACTTCCTCAGTCAGTTATTTATTTTTCTTCTTTAACGTGCCTTTCAATAAAGCACTAATTCAGTCGTGTTCCTAGTCAACTTAAACTCGTGTTAGCTGTTTTCGTTAACGTTATTTTATTTTTGTTTATTTTCATCGTTTCTTTATCTCTATTTTGCATACTCTAGTTTCTTTTTCTTTTTTCCTATTTCAGTTTTGTAGTCTGAAACTTTGAATATTCAATTTTATTTTTGTAGATTTTAAGTGTCTATGTTTTTTTCTTATGTTCTCGGTTAATCAATCAAGTAAAACCGATTTTTTGCAAAATTTAAACGAAGCAAGAGACGCCAGACGAAGGGAAAAAGATTTACAACATGCCACAGTGTTAATTCAAGCAAATATTCGGGGTTATCTTGCAAGAAAAAAATTTAATGATCAAATAAGGTGAAAATTTTTGATCTTAGCTAAATAACTTATGGTAATACTGTTATTTTTCTAGGAATGAACTTATAAATGCCTTTCAAGAATATAATGATCCGAAAAAGAAATACACAATGCAACTTGGTAAACTTTTTGTGATGTTCAAGTTTCACTGTGTTATAATCTAACAGACAATTTTTATTTGTTTTAGCATCAAAAATGTTTTCACATACACGACATTTTCTGACTTATTATCAACGAGGCAAAGCGAAACAACGATCAGGTGATTTAAACTATGTAAGATAAAATAACACAGTTTGTGTTTTCTATTCTGATTCAAACTATATCTTTCCAGTTACTTCTAAATGTTTTCACTTATATTATCAACAGTTTACAAGCCGATGAAATTAAGGTAAATTAACTATCCGATTATTCATTACTGAAATAGTTAATATGATTTCTCTTCTTGTCCTATTTCTAGTACAGTTATTTGGCTGCATTTTTCAATAAAGATTTGAACAGTCGATGGATGTCATTGAATCATGAGTATTCATTATTAGCATTGAAAATTTTGGAAACAAATGAGGTGTTGTTGTTGTTATTTGTACAGAATTGATTTCAACGATAAGAAAATACAACAAGATATTATTTATTTATATTTTAGCTTTTAACAAGTCAAGATATTCAATTGTCGATGAATGCCTTACAGTTTCTGGTTGTAATGACAGACTACGAATGTTGGAAGTCTATCCAAAAGAATATAAGTAAGTCTATACGTTAGCTAAAAATCTGTTCTTCACATATAATCACATTATGAATTTAGGTGATATTTTAAAAACAACTATGGAGGCACTCAATCGAACGTATTTAATTTATTTTGCTCAACATAATTTACTCTTTATTTTAAAGGTATGTTGAATAATACGTGGATAGTTCAACATATTGTAGATGGAGATTGTTTTTGTAAAACAGAATTTTATTTTGTCATTCTTATATTCAGACATTTATGAATCGATGTATACAACGGCGTTTAGAAATATCCTCAATTGATCATGTAGCTACTTTAACGTTCAAGTATGAATGACTGAAATGAAATATATTATTAACATAGCACACGTCCTTTCTGTTTATTATAGACTATTGTTATGTACTGATTTCAATGGATCCTATTTGATTCTTATTTCAAGTACAATCTTAACAATTCCAGCATTTTTAACACTTTGTACGGAAAAATCTCACAAAGTAATAAAAGATCTCTTTAATTATACACAAGGTAGTTATACTATCCTTTTCAGTTCTTTGCTGCTGCATGTCAAAAAGATTTATTTAATCGTTTAATTTGTGTATACAGCACCAAAGAATCATTTATGAGTATTAGTGATCGTCTCGATGTTGTTGAAATATGTTATTTACTTGGTAAAAAATCTTTTCTCATTTGTCTACTAGTTAATTTTTAAAATTCAATGTTATTCTTAGGCAATATTGTTTCGCTAGCCGCTATTGATATTCACCAAATCGAAACGATGAAACAACCTTTTATAGTATGTTTTTATTGAATCCTGTTTGACAGTTACTTATATTCCTCTTTTCTGCTAGAATATTTTATTCAATATCTTGGAAATCTTTCGTCAGCGTCAATCTGGTGAGAATAGTGAAACAACCAAATCAAATACGACACTATGGCATCCTATCATAGGACATGTCAAGGGTAAAACAGTGTTTGCAGTGTAAGTTATATTTCTCTGCTCGACGACATATCACTTCAGTTTGGATTATATTTTTGAAGATCAAATAATGATCTAAATCATCGTGTTATTCAACAGCTAAAATTTTTATGGTCAAAACAATTTGTTAACATTTTATTTGAATCATCAACTCCAGCAGCCAATGTAAAATCAAATCAACCGACAAAAGAGACGAGTATGTAAAAACGAGAAACATTGATTTAAAGTGTGTGATATATTTCTGTTATGTTTAAGATATAATTCGTGCAAAATTTGAAAAATTATTTTCAAAATCAACTGAATCAAAATTATCGTCGGATGAAACACAATTTATTTGTCGTATAGCAACATTATATCAAAATCTTATTCACTCATTAACAGAATTACGTTTACAAATTTTGTGTGGTATGAAAAAATAGTGTTTTCGAATTATCTTTAGATAACTTGTTTTTTGGCTTGTAGCCTTATCCTTGCAAGAAGGTCTAATAAGTAGTTTATGGTTATTTTTACAAAGTATTGGTCCAAACTGTGGTATCAAAGAGCTGACAAAATTATATGAGACAACAAAAGGAAATAATTCATTATTTGAATTGTTACAATTATTTTGTAATCTTTGTTCATATCTTGTTACGTAGGTGATGCTTAAAGTGAGTTTTTCTCACCAATAAGTTGCCATTCTTGTTTTGTAGAGTATTGGATGAAGAAGAAATGTATAGACAACAGAAGCATCTTGAATTAGAATCATGGACTATTTTGGCATATTTTTTAAATAATATACTATATCGTATCATACGATTTGAATATAATCTATCGATTAACAGTGAGTTTGTCTAGTTTTGATTATTTGATTTAAAAAAGAATAATATGGTTTGTTCGCGCAACGCTGTAAGTGTGCTACTTTTCATTCACATTGTAGATGCTATATTGCGGTGGCGAAAGCTCATAAAGAATTCGGAGATGTCTCATTTTAAAAAGCAAATATTTCTTTTTAAGTTGATTATTAGGCAAAATCTCGATAGTGTACAGACTTCTAGATGTCAGATCGTTAAAGTAGAGACCAGCTCATGCGAATAGAGCGTTCAGTTTGAAGTCATTTGTTTTATCATCAATTGAAAGAAAAATCTTTACTGTTTAAAATGAAATGTCTCTCAGCTCTGTATAAGCTTTCTTCGAAACACCGTGATCTTGGTAAAGAGTAGCACACTTATGAAGGAATTGAGCATTAACCAGACAGACCGAATCGTTATTTCAACGCCATCAGAAATTGTTACTTATCTGAGAATGCATTATATAAGAACAACAGTAAGAGAGACAGACTTTGTCTTTTGAGTAGAAAAAAGTCGAACTATACTTGTACGAATCTCTGGCATAGTTAACAAATAATATTTCTTATTTTTTTAGCTGCAGTATGTTCAAAAAATTTCTGCACCAGTCCCACTACATCTCTCTCATCATTAAATCTTATCGTTAATAGTATTTATTTGGAACGCAAGCAAATATTTAAAACACTTCATCCACTTCTTGTACTTTTATATGAACGAAATACACGAAAATCATTTGTACCAGATAATTTTTGGCTGATACGGTATAAATATTTATTTTTGATTTATTGTCTTCCAGCATCTTTTTTTTTGTTAATTCTAGTGATTGTAAACCATCCGTTTTTATAGCTGATATTGAACGAGATGATCCGTGTGCAAAATTTTTGCTCGAACATATGCCTCATATACTTCCATTCAAAGATGTATGTACATATTTCAATAGTAATAAAATCAAACAGTTATTCATTTTGTTGTTTATCTATTGTAGCGTGTGAAAATTCTACAGAAATATATTGAAACTGATAAACATGAGCATGGCATTCGTGAATCGTCTATGCATCGTCACATAAAAAATCATATTGAAGTTCGACGTAACAATTTATTTGGGGTATGGTTTGAAAAGAATGCAATAATATTTAGTTTAAAATGTATTCTTCTTTTTTTTTTGAACAATAGGATTCATATGAAGCATTAAGATCAATAGTACCAGTTGTTTGGAAAAATACTTTGCGTGTTACATTTATAAATTCACAGGTAGAATATCGATTGTTCTATGATTCTTTGTTTATGGTATATCTTTTTGAAGGGTCTTCCAGAGCCGGGCATTGATCAAAATGGTATATTCAAAGAATTTATTCAAGAAATAACAAAGCAAAGTTTTGATCCAGCGTTTAATCTTTTTAAAGTAATAGTTTTCAAAAATATAAAACTATACCGTGTCTATCGTTTTCATGTATCTGTACATTTAGACAACGGAAAATGGCTCATTGTATCCATCGCCATTATCGGTTTTAAATGAAAATTATTTATCATTGTTCAGTTTTGTCGGTAAAATATTAGGAAAAGCTGTTTATGAAGTATGTAAAGTTGTAGAAAATACTATTAAAATGGCAAATTCCATCATGTTTTTAACGTTGTGCATCAAATATGTTCAGAGTTATCAAATTAGCGAAGCATACCCGTAGAAAAGAAATTTTCTCTCAGACAATATGAAGTTTTTTTGTGATTCTATATACAATAGACATGGATGATTCCAGAACAATAAAACATTTATTAGACATTTTAGTCGATAATTTTGTAGATAGCGTGACTAATTATCTCTAATCTTTACACAAAGTCCTTCATCATCCAGAATATAAGTGAACGTCTTACATCAATGCTTGAGATCCTGCTTGTCTACAGAACTGATGAAGAAGGACGAGTTTTTATCGTAAAAATAGATGGTCTACATGTGACGCTCGTGTTGAAGTTTAATTTTTTTTTTTAATGTCTACATAAAATTAAGAGATAGAAAACGTTTAACATGTATTTCTGTTACTTTTCTATTTAGCAAATTGTTCTGGATGTTGAGTTTGCTCCATTTTTTCTTCGAAATTTGATCGGTCATCGTAAAAATATAAATTACAGCTGTTTGGATGATCTGATGTTTCTTGATCGTGATTTATACAATAATCTAACGTTTGTCAAAGTAAATAGATATTTAATTTATCTATAAAAGACAAACTGAAAAAACAAAAATATTTTCATCTGTTTATTTTTTTTTTTAGCATTACGATGGAGATGTTAGCAGTTTAGAATTAACCTACAGTATTGACGAAGATATTCTCGGCCAAATGGTGACAATTTTTTAATTGTTGTGTATTCTTCTTTTCGAACTAAATGTAGTTTTAATCGGATTTTCTTTTTATGACTTTTAGGTGACACAAGATATTATACCGTGTGGAAGACATATTACTGTCACAAACGATGATAAGTAAAGTTTGATATTCTAGTTCTATTTCTTAGATAATATAGATTAAATAAAAAATTTGTTATTTTAGAATAATTTATGTTCATCGTATGGCTTTATATCGAACATATACAAGAATAAAACAACAAATAAAAATGTTTTCTGACGGTTTCAAATCATTAATCAAACCTGAATGGTTAAATATGTTTTCTGTTCCTGAATTACAACAATTAATCTCCGGTGAAACACAAGATATTAATATTCAAGATTTAAAGTAACAAGATAAACTAAAATATTTTATTTTAGTATTTTATTTGTTTGTTTATTTTTTAATTTATAGATCAAATACTGTTTACCAAGGTGGATATCATAAAAATCATTCGGTTATTAAATGGTTATGGGATTTAGTTGAAAAAGAATTTACACGAGAAGAACGAGCTTTATTTTTACGAGTATATTATCATTTTAATATCATTAAAAAAGAAAATGATATTAAATAATATTTTTTATTTAGTTTGTGACTAGTTGTAGTCGTCCACCGTTATTAGGTTTTTCACAATTAAATCCACCGTTTACAATTCGATGTTTGGAAAGTTCTGAAGAACAAGTATATTTTTGTTCTTTCTCTTATGAATACATTTTTAAATCTTGATGTTTTAAATATAGGATGAAGGCGATTCACTAGGACGAATATTTCGAAACATGATTAATATTGGTCGTACATCATCCGAACGTTTACCATCCAGTTCTACATGCTTTAATTTATTAAAATTACCAAATTATAAAACTCGTAATATATTACGCGAAAAACTTCGTTATGCGATTAATTCAAATGCAGGATTTGAACTTTCTTGATCCATAGTTTTACATATATTGCATTTTATAAATATAAATTTTTTTACTAATAATTTCGTTTATATAAAAATAAAGCAACCAGATTTTTCTCTACGAATTTTCTTTTTATTTATGACTGCATGGAGTTAGAAAATTAAAAACTTATTCTGTCTGTTAAAGAAAATTAAACTGTGTTATGAAGATTGTTGTTTAAAACTATAATTTTAGATGAGTCGATATACAAATTATGAGGGTTATGAGATTGATGATGAGTCAAGCGAAGAAAGTGATGTTGAAAATGAGAAAGAAAAAGTACATAACGATGATCTAGAAAGTAGCAGGTATGAATCGAATCATCTTTCTCCAAATGTTACTGGTTGAAATTATTGATTATATATCATTTATTTTTGTAGCTCTGATAATGAATTTGATAAACCCATACGAGATTTCATTGAAAAAAATTTTTCATCCAATGTTACAACGCAGAAATCGTCAAATAAATCATTTGAAAATGAAATGGAAAATGAGTTAGATCAGATCTATCATTCTTTTACAACAAACGGAAAATTTCAATTACCAATTGAAAGTAAGAATTTTGTTATTATTAAAATTAACTTTTTTCATTTTGTTTTGGTCTAGGCATTCATCGACTCTGTTTTTATACTGTTTTATTTTTATTTTCAGTACCGCTCACTCTATTGTTTTTTCAAATCGGTAGGATTGTTTGTCAGATTCTGAAAAGTGGAATATGCGAATTCATGTCGGAAGCTAAACGACAATCAAAAATCACTCGAATTTAAAGCTGATCTATTCAATTACTAAAGAATAGTATTTTATTTTGTTCTGCCATTCGATATCGAATCACAAAGCTCATAATATCTCAGTTTGTAGCGGAGACTCTGACTAACGTCCTTACACATTTGAAAAAATTAGAGCAAGTAGACTTTCAGTTAACGATTCATTTTTCAATAGATGCTGTAATGAGTTCAATTCATACCCGTCTCGATCATGCATTTAACATTATGTTTTCATAAAATACAATGTTAGCATAACAGTTTAACATCACTCAAAGAATTGATCAAACGTATTTGGATACCACTGGAGGGAATATAGGTCTCATTGTGATGTTCGTAAACAATGAAATAGTAGCATTAAAACTGTTGATAGTATGAAAATACTATCTAATGTAAAATAGGCATCATTATTAAGAAATGGAAATGACGGTACTGCCCAGTCAAAGACGACCTAATTTTTTGGGTTGTGTAGTCAGATACACGTACAATTGAATCTAGAACTCAAAAAATTTGAGTCATTTTTGCTTCGACTGGGTAGTACGAAAGTATTAGTTGATTAATACACGGATTGTATAACATACTTTTTTTTATTTCTGACATTTAAAACTCCCAAGTTCTACCAAGCTTTTATGTCAACTTCATCAGTTTTCCCTGTTCTATCTGAAACTAGCACTAGAATTGTCAATGGTCAATAAAATAGATACAGAGCTTGGGAGTTTTGAATGCCAAAAATAAGCGACCTTCGAGATCAGGTTTCAAGACTTGGTGCATTTCTAGATTTCGACCATTCGATCGCAATAGGAATAAAAATATTCAGTTGTTGACATTTTTACACTGATGTATCATTGTGCGTATAAACATGGAAATATGCGTATGAAGCGAATGCTAAATAATGCCCAGCAAGATCATCCTAAACTCTATCGTGGAATATTTACAACATGTAAGCGTTTACTTCATAATGTGTTCAAGTATTCATGATGATATTCATCATTGAAAAATGCTGCCACATTTAATTAATGTTTAAATGCTTCCTGCACTGATTCGTCTAATTACATAATCATCGATTGATTTTAACATATAAGCGATTTATGTTTAGAAGGTGAATTGTAATATATATCATTCATTTGATTTATTCTTTCTGTGAGATTGATCTAGTTTTTCTTTTTTGGATATTTTTATGATTCAATTTTCGCTTTTGTCATTGTGATATTTTTTTTATAGTTCAGAAGAAAGCGCCATCAAAAAACAAAGATTTAGCGGTGAAGAGCGACTATGATAATGATAACGACCAAAAAGATGATAATTCTAATCACAGTGATTCAGGTATGAAGAAAGAGGATGTAGAGTGATAGAAATTTGTAGAATTTTTATATTGTGTTTTGTTTATTCATAGATGATCGTATTAAAAAGAACGATGACAGCGAATTGAAGAAGTCAGATGATAAATTAATTAAGGAAACAGACGAAGATAAACTTAATGATGATTTACTTTATGATCCAGAACAAGATGATGAAGATGAAAAATGGATGTCAAACGAAAGAATAAAGTAAGTTGTATCGATTTATAGTGCCATATATTAAGAGGAAATGATTTATGAAACGAGTTAAAAAGAACGAATTAGCATAGAGATGTATATTTTCTTTTCTATAGATCTCGTGGTGGTCAGACAAATGTGTCATCATCATTAGGTGATACCGATGCGGTGTTGAATTGTCCTGGTTGTATGATATTGATATGTCACGATTGTCAACGGTGTGTTCAAGTTAACTATAACATAAAAAATGTTTACTTTTACTATTTATTTCTAAATTTAGACATGAATATAATCGTAATCAATATCGTGCTATGTTTGTATTTAATTGTATAATTGACGAAAATCGCCATGTTAAAGTATCATCAAATGAAGAGAAAAAGAATCGAAAGATGAATAATATATCGTCCAAACAATCGCATTCACGGACTAAACGTTTCAAGACAAATGATAAACAACAGTTTTCTAACGGTGGAATTGAAGACGATATTGAATCTCTAAATGAACAAGAAAATTTGCCAAAACCCGTTTTATGCAGTGAATGTGGCACTGAGTTAGGAGCATATGAAAAGAATGACGAACTATATCATTTTTACAATGTGTTAGCTAGTTATTGAAGTTTATAGCTGTCGTTTCTTTTCTTCATTTTTCTGATATATTTTCTTGTAAAAACGCATTTTATATTCCTAATCGTGGTTATTTTGGCGGTTGCGTGGATAAATTTGGCGGTCGTGGATATATTTTGTTGATGCTAAACGCCAATTGCTTTATCAGTGAAGGAAAAATCGAGAATAATGAACGCAAATAATAATAATGAAAGAACAGCTTTGTATAACTGAATAATTAACAGAAAAATTAATAGTATTTCAGAATAATGTTTCGTAAACTTTCATGCTCGCATATAAGTTGGAGATGGCACATGAAGTGCTAACAACAGTGTAAGTCATCTAAATATACTGTTCGTCTAATCAAACCGACTCGATACGATTTTAAATTCATGATTATTAACATATTGTCTACGCATTATTAATTCTTTTTTAATAAATGAATAGACATATATGTTTAAAAAGAAAAATGTTATCAGTTAAATTTTATAATAGATTCAAGAATTTTTTGTACATCAGTGGAAATATTTTGCTGTATAAATCGATCGTAGTATCCAAACAATGGTCATGATGACATTTGAAATTGAATTTTGCTTGTACTTATTTGGTGGTATAGCATAAACCATTGGTGCACGTACGAATGTGATAAAAATGAGCCAAAATTTCGAGGATTAAGATATATTAGATGCAGAAATCAGACGATAATCTTAATGCTATGCGCCCAGCCTATACGAACCAATTTGAGAATATATTTTTTCTTGCATGACTAATTTAAGGGCTTGAACTTCATGACTGTATTTATACACAGTTTTAAACAACAGATTTGTCTATCTGAACATCAACATTGACTAGATTTCAATAATACGCTAAAGAATCGCTGTAGTTTTCGCCGAACTTTAAACATCAGTTTAAGCCAATTTCACAAATATAAACTAAATTATGTTCATGAAATACTGTGATCTATTATTACCACTGTACAATCCAAATGAAGCGACCTTTTGGTTACCCGTGTCGCTCTGTTTTTGATTGGTTTATCTTACAAGCCAATCCATATACACGTTCCTCATTTATCATTGTTGTTGTGGTAGCAGTTTTATTTTAATTTCGAAATATTGGATATATTTGTCTTCAAAATACCAAATCGAATGTGACATGCTTTTTGGTTTGATAAATTCACGTAATCGTACTTATCTTTACGACAAAGCTCATCGAATATCTGCAACTGTTCTTATATCGCTTACTGTAATTGGATTTGGGGCTATTTGTTACCAGTTTTATTTGGCCAAAACACAGTACTTACCCGGTTTACGGTAGGTCTTTCTTTATTATTTCAAGAGCCTTCGATTGATCATACGTTTCGTCGATATTTGTATATTTAGTAAACAAGGTAAAGAAAAATTGCAAATACAATTAGCTGCTAGACAATACGAAGCTGAATTATTGGAACAACAACGATTAGCTGAAAAAGAACTTGAGTTTTCATCACCTTTGAAGAAATAGAACAAATGTCAGAGCCGAGAAAAAACGAAGCAGTCAAAATCGCACAACAGCAGCATGAATCAGATGATACAACAAAAAAGAAAAATAATCAAGTTACACCTGTGTCACAACAGGAGAATGACGAAGAATGGGGTATATCTGCATCGAACGATGGTGTAACATTTGACTATCCGGAGATAAAATATGAATTTTTGGACAATACGGCTGATGTACAATTACATGCATGGGGTGATTCAATCGAAGAAGCATTTGAACAAGTTAGAGAATAGATCTTTCTTTTTGGGACGTTAAGAAGTAAAAATTTCACCAACTTTTAAGCTAGTTGCTAGATTGAACATTTAGCAGTTCAAGAGATAATTAGTTTATATGATGTTTTTGTTTTTGTTTTTGTATTGAATGATATTAGTAGGACATATTCTGTTCTTAGTACTGTTTATTTTTTTCTAGATTGGAATGGCAATGTTTGGCTACATGACTGATATAGAAAGAATTGAAAATAAAGAAATGAAAGAAATAGACATTCAAGCCGAAGGTGACCTAATGAATTTATTGTACAAATTTTTATGCGAATGGTTAGAGGTACATGGTACCGAAGATTATTTTATAGCAAGAAAAATCGAAATAAGTGAATTTGATCGTCAAAATTTACGTATTATTGCACGGTAAAGTTTCTTTCCCTACAGTGAAAATATATATTCTCCTTTTTACTATCCATAGCAATGAAACTTTTTGCCTCTAGTGATTGCGCTGACTAGTCTGTTTTGCTTATTTCAGTGGTTTTGGTGAACAATTTGACATTAAAAAACATACACAAGGCACTGAAGTAAAAGCCATTACCTATTCGAACATGCAAATTCATGAAGAAAAGCCAACAAATGATGTATATGTTATTGTTGATATTTGATTTTGATTATTTTTTATCATCCGTTTTTGTAATAAACCCATTATGTTTTTTTTGTCTTTTTATGATAACTCAGCACTTTATAGTTATACTGTCTTTTCTCCATCTATTTTATCTTAGAACATTACCATTTTTGAACACTTGGCTAGAAGAAAAGATTTATGTTATTTTTTATGTCAAGTACCTAAAACTGAAATCTTTAAATACGATCGAGTTCAAGCTTTCTTTCGATTAAACATCGTATCCGGTATTTATTATTGAACATCTTTGTGCATATCTTCGCTCTCTGGTGTTTAATTGAGACGCCGACGGATGGACGCCGCAATTTATTATGTATGACCAATCATTTCAGTCAATGGATGTATACCAAAGATTTCCGCTACCCATTAGTATCATTAGGGCGTGTGTTCGAGTTCATATGATGCCTGAGTCCTAACACTTCTACTTTCGTTCACGTACATGATATTTAATATTGTCAAGCTGATACCGAATATTGCTTTATTATCAATACAAACTGGAAGAGGAATCGGCGCCTCTACGATTCCATTATTCTTGTTTTTCAATCCCCCACTCGTCATCATAGCTCACGGTGACATTAGCACTGATTGACACTGCATACTCCAGTAGCATTCCCGATCACTTTCGCGCCAAG